GATGCATATAATGCTATAAGTTCGGAGCGCCGCACTGTTGAAAGTGTTCGGACTTGTCTTGCCGTATTATGGGGCACCATAAGAAGCCTCTGGCAAACTAAACGTACCAAGGTGTACGGATGCAATATCAAATAGACATTTGTAAGAAAAAAAATGCTCAAATAAGAATAATAAGCTAATGCTATATATGATCTCCCATTGATGAATAATACGTTTAAGCGTATGTTTACAATGAATGCATTAAGCGGAGATAAATAGGATTATTTGACATATCCTATCCAGGGGCAGGCTACGTACGGATAGATAAAGCAGGTATAACGATCGTAAATAGATTTCACCTGGGTGTTTCCTTCTGTCCGCAAAGCCTGTTGCCTCCTTGGTTTCCTCTCCTATGTAAGTCCGACAATCCGGCTCTTCTGAAGAGGCTGCGCTAAAGCAATATCCTGGTGATCCTGTTGCGGGGTGTTTCGCCCTCGCTTGACGGAGCTTGAGGTTGTCATCGCCGGATTGGTGGTTTGCCGGAGGAGGCCGCATTGTACTTCTGCCGCAAGGGCTGCAGTATGCTCTTCTGTACGGAGAGAGCGGTCCATATTTCCATTGACTGTTATGACCCCGCACGGGCCTGGCATCTTGAGCTTGAGGTATGCATAGTGTGGTGGTGAAACTGCTCTTTGTCATATCATTGATAGGTACGAATCTGATTGAGAAATGGTGCAAATCTGATGGATTGAAAGCCATATAATTCTGGTATGTATTCGTTGCTCACTTCAATGTAACTAAACCTTTTCTTCAGTTCTATGAAAGCCATATAATTTGCATCTACCTTTTTTGGAACAGGTTACTAATTTGCCTTTTGTTCTGACACTATAGCTAATAGGATCCACCTTGAACTAAATACATTGTCAGATCTTATGGTCATGAATTAATTATGTTCTTTTAAACGCAACTGCTATATTTTAAACCATTGATCCAAAATGCATAGTGCATCTTTTTGGTTCTGTGAAAAACTTTTCTGGTTGACACTATAGCTAATAGGATCGATCTTGAATTAAATACATTGTCAAATATTATGGTCTTGAATTAGTTGTGTTCTTTTAAGCGCAACTGCTATAATTTAAACCATTGATCCAAAATGCATAGTGCATCTTTTTGGTTCTGTGGAAAGCTTTCAATAAGTGATGATGCAAAATGGAAGATCAACAAAATGGAAGATTGTGTTTCATAGATTTGATGGTGTGAAACTTACTAAATTTCCCTTTGGAACCCTTGCTGTATGGATATATCATAACAATCTGTTTTGTGTCAACCAGGGCGTTGCGGGGTGACAATATGGTACATTATGTCTCTCAACTCTTTCTGGGCGAGTTCCGAACGAAATATTTCATTGATACAGTGTGATGCCTATGGCTGTATGGAACTGGTATTTGTTCAGTTCATGCGATGGCTGTATGAAATGTGATGGATGTAAAATTCAAATAATACCTATATTATTTTCAGTTCATGTGATGGCTGTATGAAATGTGATGGCTGTAAAATTCAAATAATACCTATATTACGTGAGCGTCTCCGGCCCCGATCCTGGATGCCTTCGGCGGCGGGTCCTGAAAGGGATAATAGGATCCTGGACGTGTCCGGCGACGGGTCCTGAAAGGGATCGGCGCCGGATCCTGGACGCCTGGACGTGTTCGGCGGCGGGTCCTCCATTGGACCAGCGCCGGATAAGTGGAGGCCGGCGGCTTTGATGTGCAAGTTACGCGCCTTTGATGTGCCAGACCGGCGGCGAAGGGATGGAGCAGGGGCGGCGAAGGGACGAAGGGCGGCGGAGGGCGAACGAGGGCAGAGTCGCGCGTGCGAGTGTTTCTCGCTCGAGGGCAGGAGACCTCGCTCGTACGTGCGGGCGATTGGTCTAGGATTTTTTTCGCTGGTTAATTTTCACCGATTTGTTTTCGCTGGTTTATTTTTGTAGATTTTTTCGTTCGTTTGTCTTGGGTGCAACAGGAGGTTAGGCCTTGGAGTGCGTGGGGGCGGGTGGGGGACTCGGCAGGAGGTTTTTTTTTGGTTCTACGCGGCTCGGCATTAGGTGGGAGCAGGTACCACAATAAACCATGATAGGTGGGACGAAAATAAACTTGGAACGGAGACTATCAACTGAGACATTAGGAGTACAGGTTAGTTAGTTGCGATGTTCTTACAAGAACTGTGGTGTAATGTAATATTGCTAAGAAGAAGCCGATCATAGTTTGTACCATGGTGCAATGAACTCGTTGTCGGTCCAGCAACTGTTTACAGGATCCCAAACTAGGAGCTGGTAGTGTTGCCGGTTGAGGACATGTGCGAGGCCGTTGTGGGTTATAAGGCCTTGTACAATGATAGGTGCTTAGGGGAGGTGCCTAGAGAAATAAACCACGCTTTTTT